CACTCCTGCCACGCGTCGCCGCCGACGTACTTCACCTTCACTTTGCCCGCCTCGCACTGCACCCCCGCACACACCGCGTGCACTTTGGTGTAGTCATCTTCAGTCGTCTTGCTCCTGGCCTCCAGTGGCTCCGCATCGAGGCACCACGAGCCACCCCCATTGAGGGACCCGGGCTGGGGGTTGCTTCCTTCCACGGTGCATAACAATTCTGGCGCAGCACCACTAGGAATGGAAAAAACTGAGCAGGCCTCTTCTTCGCCGGCGTCGCCTGCAGCAACGTTCATATCACACTGCCCGATGGCTTGGCGGTTGGACGTGCAGCGAAGTGTTTTGCCTTCGGTCTTTTTGTCGCAGAACATGCCGGGGTGCTCGGCGGGGCTTTTGTCTGAGCACGGCTTCTCGAGGAAGTCACAGCCCGCGCCTCTGCCCCACGCCATCGGCTCCTCCATCCCCCACACGGCCTTGTAGTAGCCGAGGTCCTCAAACATTGCCATCGTCAGCGCGGTGTAGTAGCCGGCGGTGTGCCCACCAAGCTTGCTCATCAGCTCGTCCTTCGCGTTGCGCAACGGCCAGTGGCAGCCATCCGAGTCTTCACAGTCCTGCAGCTCAATGCCCTTCAGCTTGTCGCAGCCGTAGTGCGCCTTCGTTTTGTTCAGCGTAACGGGAGACTTCACCACCGGAACAAGAGCGCTGGTGCCGCGCACAAGAGGGACGGTCGTCAGCTTTTTGTAATCCTTCATCAGCTTCGCGTCGAAGCCAAGGGCATAGGCGATTGCATGCGCAGCAACGCGGGCAGAGTGCATGACGGACAACGTTTGAGGAGGCAGTAGATGCAGGGCACCGGCAATTGGACGATCATCCGTCCCAAACGCACACGGGAGAGCCCACGCCCCGGAAGCAGATCTGGCAGCCACGTAGAGCACCATGTCGGCATTCTCAACTCCCGCATCGTGGTGCCCTTCGGGGACCTTGAAGTACTTGCAAAACCCATGCTTCTCTGTGAACTTGGGCACCTTCAGCGGGGTCTTCAGACGCCCAACGAGCAGACGCTCCGCGTGCAGCTTGACAGCCACAGGGATGACCTCGTTCACCAGGGTTTTGTTCCAATCCGCGGTCAGTACTTCATCCTTCCTGCACTCTGGCTCTTTTCCCATGAAGTCGGGTTTCTTTTCTCCGGCTTTGCTGCAGTACTTACTTGCGTCGCTCAGGTCCTCCATCGACGCCACGATGCGGATGGGCTCCCACTCCTTGCCCTCGCCCGCTGCGGCGACGGTGTACGCCTGCGTCGCGCCCTCTCCCTTGCGCGGCACCTCACGCACCATCGCGGTCGGCAGCGGACCGCTCCTCATCGCCGCCTCGTCGAGCGCACGGCGGTGTGCAGCGGCGAGGCACCCACCGACGCAGCACGTCGTCGCGAGGAGCAGCAGCAGCAGCAGCGGCTGTGCGGAGCAGAGCGGACGGCGCATGGCGTGAGGGAAAGTGTCTGTGTTGGTCTGTCGTGGATAGCGGCAGTCGCAAATGCCTTGTCTGCGGGAGGCGGGAAGAAGAGGCGGGGAAGAAGGTGGACGAGGCAGCCGGAGAGGTCGCGGGAGGGGGAGTGCGAGAGCGAGACCGCAAGCCACTGCGACGGCCAGCGCACCGCCACCTCTGCGCACCGCTCTCGCCCAGACACGCACGCGGGGCCCGGCAAGCAGCAAGAACCGACCGAACCCGGCCGATTGAAGCCGAAGCGGCGTCACCCCCGCTACGGAAATGGTCCTT